TACATCGCTGGTTTAATCAAGTATGTCACGACTACTTGCTTATCTTCTTTCCCGAGCTATTGCACAGGGATTCCCTCATTTCATCATTTAATAATGGGTAGAAGTTCGGCTTGCTGGGATTTCCCTCGTTCCCATCGATCTTTTCGATGGTTCCCATGGAGCCCCTTCATTCCTTTGAAACATGTAAAAATAGGAGCAGCGTTCATACTTTACGGCCTACAGGTCTCCCTACTGCGACATGTGATTTGACTGGGACTGGCAAAAGAAATTAGCCAAAGAGCAATATGTCTCTCCCAAACCGATAGCACCTATATATTTCATCTGGGATTCTTTTTACCTTTACTATTTCGACATTTTTGGTAATTTTCTTTCACGAGCTGTTCCTCCTCAAATTCCCCTTCTCTTCATGTCCATTTAAAACTGTGCAGAAACTACTGAGTTTGGAACTGCGAATAGCTCTCTAAAGTTCGTTTTCATCCCTCCTTTTCTACTGTCCTCACCTATCCGTTGAATTTTCAGGTTTGCCACTCCTGAGAGCGTAGCAAGAGCGAAAGAGCTGCACAAGGTTTCATAAATGCAGACTAATAGCCTTACCAACGGTCGCAGAGGGAAATGTTTCAGGAATTCGCATCATCTGGAGTCCTATGTCGTGAAGCATATGACGCGCTGATTTCTATAGCAAGTTTCAAGGATGCAAAGGGTTTGATGAAGGAAATGGCTGAGAAGAAAGTGAAACCAACCATAAGCACGTGGAATGCCATGCTCGTATCGGCCAAACAGGTTGGAAATGCTTTACTTTCTTTTTTTGAGGCGGCGTGGTCGTGGGTGGATCTGCGTCAAGATCAACTCTTTCTCTAGATGAACGCCTTACCGGAACGTTTGGCTGCGTTCGAGAACGTGATTGGTGAGATGCTTGCCGTTGGAAGTCAGCCATCGCTTGAAACCTACCGAATTATTCTAAATAATATTGTGGAGTCGATTCCGAACAGTGATTCTAAGGATGCTGAAAAGAAGACGGATATAATCTTGGTTGGTGGATGTTCCGGCGCAGTTCCGCGACCTTGGGGGGAGGGCATATTGCACTGCTACTTTCCATAGTCGTGTTCATTGCTTCACAACAGTTCACAAGTTACACTCTTTGGCTGGGTTCAGTTCATAGGTTCTCTCTACTTGGTGGCTCAACAACACGACGATGGGAAGCAGCGAGGTGCAAAACGCCCCCTCCCGTCGCTGAACTGCGCCAGTCTGCCCGTTCACTTCCTCATTCATTTTCTTTCATCTTCCATTGCTTGCTGTCGTTTTTTTACTGGCCTTTTACCTG